GAAAAAAGTCTTCTCTGAAGTATGTCATTCCAAGTACTGATAACCTGACATACTTAAATAGAGAGGCTTAAATATAAACTACTGAATACATAGCGTGGGTTTCCCAAATACTGAGAAATAAGGAGTGCTGAAGACCAGGTGCTAATCTTAGGTACTTATATACGAATGTTTTCTTCATATTGGTTTTTTACTGTTAACAGTGAAACTAAAGGACTTTTTATTACATATGTCAATAGTTAAAAGGTTAGTTCAAGTTGAATTTATTGTTGATGACCAGAGCTGCGGGAACTTGTCACTCAGAAGTATTAGGAATAAGCTGATAGAAAAGTGTGATTTTAATTTTTTTAAATACTATTTTTCAACTGTAAAATTGATTAAACTTTTTTTTAATAGTATGCTTAGGTAAACCCTGTTTTTGCCATCCCTATTCTCTCTAGAAAACAGGAGTGATCCTTACAAATAGGATCATAACTGTTTTAAATAAATTGAGTCATTTACAAATTGAGTGAAATGTTAACAATTGGTATTAGTACCTCAGGAATTATTTTTTTTCAGAATATAGCTGAAATGAGCAAAGACTGCCAGGTTTTCTTTAAAAGGCCTGATTGTAAAGATCACATTTTATCTTAAATCAGCTTAGCTTGCTCAACTGGTTCATTTTCTGCCAGGTCAGTTACCTGCTCTGCCTTGCCGCGTGAGTGCTAGAGCCAGTGTGAGGAATCGGTTAGAAGCAGAGGGTGGAGCAGGATCATTACTTCTGACAGTAGTGCAGACAGAGCAGATCCAAATGGCCCTGGAATAACACAACATCTTGTAACTGCTAAGACTTGACTGTTGCAAAGAAATGTGGTGGTGGTTTGGGGGTTTTTTTTAGTAATTACCAGTACATCAAAATTAGGTTATAGTCTAGAAATAAGAAAAACTAGCGAAGTTAATTAGATTCTTCTTAAGAGAAGGGTAAATTTGTGCATGCTTATGAGACTTACATGTGGTCATGAAAATGTTCTCCCAAGCATCCTAACAAATACTATGCTACGTGACTAGCAGAAAAGTCTTTGGAGCCTTTAAATATACAGAACCCTTATGTATGAAGTGCTCATCAACACCTCTTTTGCTTCACCTGTTAGCTTTTTGAGCTGAACGGCTGTGTTTGGAGTCTTTAACTCAGTTCTTTAGCTGTTACTAGCAAAGCACTTTTCTTGTTCTAGATCATCTTCTTCTGGCATTGAAACTTAAAATATCCTTTTTGCATCTGTTCACATCTTAATCAGTTTTTCTGTTTTGCACTAGCCACTTCAGTTATCCTTAGTAGTGGTTACTAATGTGTGACTTTTCTGTCCAGGAGTTGAAGTGACACCTGTGTTTGGTGACACCCTTTATATGGTAACAGAGGTGTAATCTAGAACTTGTAACCCATTTTTTCGTTTCTTTGTTTCCGTATGGGATTATTGAAGAGTTCTCTGTGTACTTAAGGATGGGCGGTGGGTTGAGGTTGGTATTTTCAGGGTACATAGATTTTGTTTTCCACTTTGCTTTACACTTGTAAGTGGAAGGTAGTACGTGCTTTTGAAGTCAGTTTTCAATACATTGTTGTCCATTACTGGAAGCCTGCTAGCCATTTGGGTAGCTTCAGGCTGAGAGCCAGGTTAGGGAGCCAAGAGTCTCCTCTGAGAGTTCCTCTTTCAAATACGGATCAGCAGCAAAGTAAAGGCAGAAAAAAGTATCTTGTATACACGAATTTCTGCAAAACCTACCCAAAACGTTGAATTGGTATCAGCTCAGAAATCTGAAAGTAGTAACAACACATAAACTTCATTAAAAGATTCTTTATTTGTCGATCAGGAGTGATCAGAAGGCTTTAAGAGCAAAGATCGTGTTTAGTGAATTGTGTGCATTTGCTGGCTTTGTTATAAAGTTCTGGTACTTCAGCCCTTAAAAAGGAGGGGAACAATGAAGGACTTGAGGAATTTTTCTACTCTGGATTTGGGACACTGTATGAAATGGCGTTTATGAAGAAGCAAATGGGCATATTCATACCTCATAGAAAATCATTCCTATATTTGTTCCACTTGTAATGCATTAGCTAAAAAATGGTTTCATTATATTCTGCATTCACAAGTATTAATTCAGTCATAGTGTAAACCAGAAGCAATTCTGCTTAGAAATGTATTATTCTAAAGGTGTTATTGTAAAGATGTGTCCAGTGTTAGTGACAAGAATATCAGAATTAGCTGCCCGTTCCGTGTGTAGCAGGAACAGGCTCTTCTGTGACTGTATAAGCCTCAATTAAATAATGATGTTGAATACTTGTTATACAGGGCTTGCTTTGCTGATGAAATTTGATACGCAGTCTTTAACCTGATATTCCACCCATTTAGTAGCTCTTCGTGAGTAAGGCTTTCAGAGTTCCTTGCCAACATGTTGGGACTCACACCTCAAAAATTTGAGTGGAAAGCTAACCGGTTTTGGTTGATGTAGCTTAATGCAGGAAGACAATGGCATGAAAATGCACATTGTTGTCTTTGCATGGATTGCACCATTAGTTTGCGATTGGAGGTTACGGTTGGATTATAAAGGGTAGTTCTCATCAATGCACTGGGATTGTTGTTAGTAGTATATTGGGATACATCAGAACAGTAAGAGACGCTGGATCAAATAAATCATTGTTATAAGCATGTTATAATGCTAAGCATTGTTGATACATAAGTGTTCATTCTGCTGCTTTGTGATTAAAATACTGAACAGGAATGACGTCGTGGAGGCTTCATCATAGGTTAGACTTGGGAGTTCAAAGTGAATTGCATAGTAGAAGTGCAGATTGTGATCTTAACCTCTGGATGTTCCTTAATCAGCAGTATGCATTGGTCTTGAATATTGATGTTACTTTTGTAGTCAGCATGTTTAATATAAACTAGAAAACTTCCTTTAGAAAGTTTACATTACTGCCATTGTCTCTTTAATATTTATGTCTCTAGTGTGCAGTTTCCTTATGCTTATAAAGGATATGAGGTGTGCAAGTGTAGAAATTTCCTTGACGTTTGGCTTTTTTTCTTGAATGATTTCAGTTCTGTTTCAAAGTTCTCCATTCATCTGGGAAGTAATCTCCTATAGAAATGTGGTTTGGGCCAGGTACTTTAAGTAAAACTAAAGCTGCTGCTTCTTGAGGAAAATTTAATTTATTTTTTCTGTATCTCCATATAAATTTTATCAATCATGATTTTTTTTTTTAATGAAGAAAA